CATATAACAAAGAAACTATTAAATGATTTTATTGTTCCTCTTGAAATTGGCCAGGAAAGAGTGGAAGCAAGTTGCTCCATCTCCATAACTGTGCGTTCAGTCCTAAATCTAAAATACTGTGCTGTGTAGCCATGGTCCGAAATGTTTTGTAGCGATGAAGCCTTGAAAAGATGACCGTGTTGGTCGGATAGGCGATTGACAAGGGGTGGATTCAGCACTGTGAGTATCGATCAAATTAAAACTGCATGGAATCGTTGAAAAGGTTGCTTGTGAATTGGGCGTAAAGGTCACGGGGTTCCAAATATACGGGCGAGCGTATAAAGTTCAAATGAGTCAAGAAGCGAACGCCGCCAACTCTTCTCTCCACAATCGCACCTCACAGTATACATCTGATTCTGCTGAAGTTGAACGACCTGGGCGAAGCTATGAAACCTTGCTGTGAGCATTCCACTCAAGGGACCTCCCTTCTACGGTTTTTCGCTTTTCAACCATCTAAACAGTTTCCTCAGAGAAAAAAGACTCAACGCGTTGCTAAGACGATATCCGTTGAGCTTATCGCCTTCAGGGCTCCAGCAGTCCAACAAACGGTCTGAGTGAATCAGTTTCTTGTTGAGAAGCGTTCGCAGACGTTTTTTTTGTATTCCATATATTCCAGTTGAAAGAGTTGCTTGAGACGGGAATCATGACTTTGGAGGGGTCAAAAACCACAAGAACTTCCTAAACGACCTAATTTAACACAAAGAGTAAGACATAAACACAGTTTAACACGTTTACAACAGCGCGCGTTTTGGGTTTTTGCTGCATGGGCCGGAGGAATTTCGCAAGCACAGCCCCCTCACCTCATATTCGTGGATTTTGAGTTCTAAATACGCAAAACTGGATGTAAGAAAACTTCTTTAGTAATGCAATGTGTTCAACTCCTCGGGAGGTACAGGAGGTACAGAGAGTGGTAGAAGTTTGACAAAATACATGTTATGGCGATATGAAAATGAGGAAAGAACTGAACTGACAGATTTGCGGACTTGGAGAACCTTCGTTAAAGCTAGTTGGTGTAAGAGTCCGCGTTCCGTCGCGCGATTCGCCCGATCACCCGATCAATACTGCAGGTGCTCTCCAATCCCGCCGCCATTTCTGCTTGATGGTGATGGTTGAATGACGACTGTTCATGATTCTACTTGTTTCATATTCAGTGTTTCAAATGTTCAAATGGGGCACTTGCGATTTTTGCGATTCGCGCGAATCGCGCGACGGATCGCGGACTCTGACACCAGCCTTACACAAGCATCTGCCCAGTCGGTGAACCACGCCGTTTATAGTCATACTGTGTTGTGATATGCCGAACAATATAAAAGAAACTAGTACAGCGCGTCACACATTAAAGTAATCTGGCTTGTGCTCGCCGGCCGTTGTAGCTCGACCCACCCTAGCTCACCAAGGGATTACAGACTACGAACACCACAAGAAAAAGCACAATAAGAAAAACAGAAAAGAATTCAATCGATAGCACTGATGCGAAGCACAGCGAATATGTGGCTCGCGTTGCTCAGTGTGTGCGGTGGAGCGGAGTGCTGAATTCCGAGATAGCACTTCTCGTATAGCATGAGTGCTGCCTAACCGTTCCTATGCGCTGTATCTGTATAGAAGGAGTGGCGTTTTTCCTGAGCTGGTTCAAAACTGATTCTTTTTGATGCTTATTCCCTCACATCAAGGTGTGCCGTCGTATATCTATTGTCCTTATTTCTTTATAGTTAAACATTGCAGTCCTCATAATTGTTTTAATGGCTGATTCGCGTTCAGGTGGTGATCAAGTCATTATTTTCAGTCCCTTAGTGAAAACGACAGAGCTGCGATACTCGTAATTCTATCTATATATGCATTCTCGACTGACGATAGGCAGTGAAGCAAAAAAACTAGAACTAGGACGATTTCCGACTCCTGTAGGAGCCCTTCCGACTGGAACTTGCATATCGTACGCAAATGGCTAAAGAGCGAGCGATGTCCCCTGGTGAAGGGCATGAATCACCAAACCAGGTAATCCAAAAGCCGTGCATATTCCGATTATGCTTCTCCTTTGCTTCCTACGTAGTATGTACCATGATTCTGGTTTCCAGATGAGCATAATAATGGCGACTCCGCCCGATGTCGCGGCAGCTGTTGGATCGCCAACACCATCCTCGTATTGCGAGCTTTTGAGCGAATTCAGTACAAGTCCATCGAGTTTGGTATGTTCTTTTTTATTATGAGCAATTTTAACACTTTGACGACAGCGCGGGACACATACGTCCCGCACTTCACACGGAAGAGACTTGTTTTTCCTAAATTGTGCCTCCATTTTCATGCTTCAAGACTGGCCCTTCCTACTGTTGGATACGAAAAATAGTTCTCTCGTTACCACTAATGAAATTATTGGTAATGTAGTAACTGTTAATGCAAATTTCTAAAATAATGTGAGTAGGTTTGCGCACAAGGGCGTGTCGTCAACGTGTTAAGCTGCGTGGCGCACAAATTTTCTAACAAAATTTAATTTCAGGCAGGCCGCATCGCCTCTCAAAGCCTGCGAATCATAATATCAAAACTGGAAGGTACGATATATTTTTTGTCGCGGTGTGGATTCATGTCTCACACTCGGAGAATTATAAACTTCACGATTTCAGGTCGCGATCAACATCTCTAGCCAGTGAAGGAGAACCCGCGTCTGGAAGTCCAAAGCCTAAACCAAATATAGTGAGTCATGACCTTGTATTCTGATTTCGGTTCTAGTAATTATGGAAAAAATGCTTTGTTAGGAAGCTCTGGAGAGCTCTTGAAGATCTTCTATATACCCATATTGTGGCGGACCATAAGATCTCTATTCATTGTAAGTTGTTCTTCCATATGGCGGTAATGGCATCTGATTTACGGTCCTTCGGCCTCAGTCATTCTACCTCGCACGCTGGAATATTACGAATAAGGCATTTCAAAGGTGGAATAAAATCGAGGATTTTTGTGTCGGAATGTCTTCATTTCCAGCGCTAATTGTAAGAAAACGATGCCCTTTGCAAACGCTACTCCCTATTCTCGTACTTGGCGTTTTATTTCCCACGAGGGATCATGGACAAGGGCAAAAAATGCTGTGAGCATCTTAGCCAGGTTTTTTTTTTCGTTCCTTCACTTGTTTCGCTCTGATTCAGAGCGTTCTCGTTTTTCGGGAGGGCGCGTTTTGGAGATAATATTGAGATTGTTTTGGATAGTTCCTTCTTGTGTCTTAAAACACTATCTCCTTGTATAAATTAGAAATTATTGTTTCAATTTGGTTTGGTTCTAGCCATCAAACTGACCGCTGAGTGCTGATTAGGTCGCGGTTTTGCACTAGCAGTCGCGGAGAATGAGCTACAGACGCTGCATGGATCTTAATATCTGACATACAACCATGTTAATAGTAAACATCGCGAATCTCATAATAAGCCCTAAGCGTCTAGGTGTTACTGCCGTATTTAATTAGAAGTCTAGCTATCTTTGACTTGATACTTACTTCATTTTTCTTGAGGAATAGCTTGGATTAAAAGGGGGGAGGAGCTCGAGATGGGCGAATTCTAGACCAAAAGTGATTAAAATCGGGTATTTCAGAGCGCCATGAATGCGGCACCCTATTTCAACCTGCCGTTCGAACTAGCCGCGCCGTCTTGCAGCTCTTTTATAAGTTAACTTTTTAAACGTTGATATCTTTGGTTTGTAATTGGTGGCAAAGAGTAGAGCAATAAATTGGCACGTGGTAATGCGGATAGGAAAATGGATTCAAAAGTGGCTATCAATGCCTATTCGTAGGGAACTTCGACGGATCAACAGTTATACGAAGAATGGGTCAAACGAATGTTTTTTGGTGTATTGCGAAATGTTGAGTATGGGAGGTATGGAAGAAATCTGTCCCGTTGTACGAATGGACAGCGTTCTGAAGCGATTATTTGTCAACTGCAAACGAGTGTAATAAAACAGTGAGATGAGTGCCTATCGGACTAATGACTCAACTGACAAGCCATAGATCGGATTTGAATTCCCCGAACGCTTCGATTTCATCTGCTCTGATGTCCTCTCTATGCGAACCCCGGTTTCCCTTTTATTTTCTGGCGATTAATGTTTGCACAGGTTTATTTTTCTATTAGTTGTAGATAGCGGGTCCTCTCGTCTTAAAATTCTGCAGTATATGAAATTTATGCATTCCTTAAAGATTTTTTTGATCTGATGTTCTCATAACGAATTTCAAGTCTCGGAATCTGCTATTGTGACCGCTCACGGTAATCAACGCGATCCTCCTCGAAGTGATTCGTTTTCACCGATTGCTTGGCGCTCCTGCAACTGTTGCAGAGGAGGACAGGAAAGATTCGGAAGGAGAAGAAAATCAAGTGGAGACGGAAGTCGAAATGCAGAAGGAATTGCAGAATTTGAGTGAGTTCAATGAAGTTCTTAATCTGAAAACTAATCGGTTATAAATTGGAAAGCAAGCCTAATGGCTTCCTACATGTGAAATAGGTTGAATCGTTAAAAGTTCTGAGGTAATCACTGTTTAATGTGGTGCTCTTAGAGAAAAAAAAGGGGGGGGTGTGAGTACGTGTCTTTTTTGAGAGCCGCAAGCCAGGCGCTTTCCACAGTAGCCGAGGAAGAAGCATTTGGCAACTACTCTAGTCCCTTGGCAAATGCCATAGCGTCTCGGATGCTCGATAGCTGATTAGTGTTGGAGGACCTTTAGGGGTTTTTAGCACTAGTACATGGATCGCCAACTCTGACATCGGCCTAAGGCAGGGTTTTCCGCAGTTACATGAGTCGAGATGGAATCAGCTGCGAATCGAGGAGCTGAGCGTGGAGCCGAATGTTTTTTGTTTCCTACGCTATGCTCTCAATGCTCTTGAAATATGCCCAATTCCCCTTTCTCAGCTCTGATGCTAGCTATCTTTATGTTGTTTCTCGATTTAGAAGAACTAGTTGGAGGATATAGGGTGTTTTATATTCTATGCTGAGCGCTAGTAGGGAAACGAATAACGCATTTCTCATAATCATCATAGCTTCCGATGCCGACTGACCTCGTCACATGCGCAGACGAAATCAGTCGTCAGCATCTTTACTTGCTGGATGTACTTAAGTACGAAGCAAAGTGATGATGAAGTTGCTGGCTGTCGACCACTTCCATGTGCAGCTCTGAAAAGTTAGGCGAGATGTCCTGGCGAACATCTTTTCACGTTCATGATGATTTCTTAGAAAAGTGAAAATCTGCTCGTAAAGTCACTAGAGAGCGCACAGCAACCCTTAAAGGCAGGACCACCCTCTTTTCCCGTCGCTTGGTGACCGCCTCTGTTTCCACAGATTTGAAAGCCTTAGGATGATGAGCGTGGGTGCTTGCAGTATGTCACACTCATACCACTCTAGCGAGTCTTGCGAT